GAGCATGAATCAGACTCCAAAACACACAATTTCGAAATTCACTCTCTTTCTCTCTCAGTCCGGTCTGCTACAGTCTCACAGAAGGTTTCTTTGGAGACTCTTCAACTTTGCTGGTTGCAGATTCTCGCCCAAGGCTCTATTGTATCCTGGGAACGAATTTGCTTGTAACCCAACAGCAAACTCAGTAAAACTGAGTGGGGGCAAATAACGTTCTAAAGACAGTGTCTTTAGACGCGCCTCAGAGCTTCTCCTCCAAAGTTACAGTGACCCCATCTTCTCCAACAAACACCTCTCTAACTGATTGGACAACTTGCAGCAACCAGTAAGAGGCCAACCTCAGAGCAGCTGACCCGCTAACGCACAAGACAACCACAACAAAACACCTAACAACATCATCATTGTGCATGGATGTCCTATCACAAGTGGGTCTTAGGCCTTCGCCATGCATTAGCAACATGGTGAGTGAATCACTTGTACGTGTTCTAGTTCAGCCCCAGGTGTCTTAACTAAATCCGAGGTATGTTCCAAAGCCTCTAGGTGTCCAACACCTTTCCTACACATATCCCTTTAGCACGAGCACCTAAAACCTATTTAAAGGTTATCTCTGCATTCATTTCATACTTTTAGCTTCATTGATTATCTACCTAACCACCTCAGACAGCTTGACTTACTAACTTGATCGTTGGAGACCTATGCTTGAGATATCACCTTGGGTCCTTTGATTTCATTTCTTTTGCAGGAATCTTTTGAATTGCCTTGAGGTCATCCATGCCTTTTAATCTCTATAAATACCGACTTGCAAATTTTCAGTTTGTCGAGTTTAACCAAGGTTTTATGGAAGAGTTCCGATACACGGAACATGTATAATTAGATGGTTTCATATTTTTTTTTGTTCATATCAAACCGATATGGATCCGTATCGGCCTCGTATCAGACCGTTTCGGGTATGTATCGGTTGATACAACCCGAAACATGCTGATACATACCCGAAATGGGCCCATACACATTATGTATAAGCCGAATTTATTTTCCCTCTCCTTTTTACATTTAAATTTAATTTAGCTCTTCTCTCTCTTATTAATAACAATTTTAATTAAGCCTTAAAGTTTGAGACGCCACTTAATGTTAATATAATTTAATTAAATGCTTATTTAAGTTACCTTTAATTACAACATTTAATATGTCAATAAATGTTATTTAAGTGAAATAACTTGTTAAAGATCACAAACCAAAGGTAACAAGTTTCAAACCCAAGTCATTTGCTTCCAACAATAATTAATTAACCATTATACCAACCTTAATTGCTTATTAGAACAACATATTTTTTTTTATACTTAAAGTAATCTTTCTTGCCTTGGTGGATGTTTCATGCTATAAATTTTATTATTAATATTTATATAATAATAAGATGAATACAAGTTATATTTATTTATTAAAAATTAAGGTATATATTAACTTGTATACATAATAAATATTATCTAAATCTATATATAATAAATATTAACCGATAAGTATTAGTATATATACACACACATTTTAGTTCTTATATTATTTTTCAATGGTTACTAATTATATCCTGATACTTATTTTTTTAAGAATTTTTTTTGGATTTTCTAGTGTATTCATGCATATCTTGATTTTTCATCCGTATTTATACATTTTCAAAATGTATCTCGATACGACTTTTAAAATTATCTTTCCCATACACCTTGCGTTTTTTATATAAACTTTGAGTTTAACGATGTCACATCAACATTTTTCTATTATTTTATTAATTATTTAACAGATTGTAAATTATGTCATTTGCATTTTTAGACTAAGGCCTTTTCTGGTTAGTCTGAAGTCTAAATTAGCCCCTTAAATTAAATTATAATAGGGTGAAAACGGCCCTAAAATCACCACATCTCCGTTGAATAACAAGTTAACAACACAAAACACTACGTATGTTATAAATACACGGAGGGATGGAAGTTGGAACTGTGAGGTCGGTGTGGGGACTCCAATGTCAAACCCAGTCCTGGATGGTACCTCGGAACCGAATCGAACCAACCCATCCTCATTTTAAGTATACAAGAAACGAGGTCAGATTCAGCGACCTCTCTCTCAGTCTCTCTAGCGATGGCTCTGAAGTTTTTGAACAAGAAGGGATGGCACACGGGGAGCCTCCGGAACATAGAGAACGTCTGGAAGGCGGAGCAGAAGCACGAAGCTGAGCAGAAGAAGTTGGAGGAGCTCCGCAAGCAGATCCAGGAAGAGAGAGAGCGCTCTGAGTTCCGCGTCCTGCAAGAACAGGCCGGCCTCGTCCCGTATGTCTCTTTCTTCTTTTGCATTCCTTCCCCTTAAGTACTGTTAAGGTTTTGTGTCTTCAACGTATTTCCATGTGATTTATTTGCTTATTATGGAATTTATTAATTTCTAATATTTAATTCCTGCAAACCAAGGTATGACCCTCTGTATATCTATCTGTCGGGCTTTTCAATTCCGCCATTTGGATCCAGAGTAGAATTATCAATTATAAAATTAGATACTTCTAAGCTGCCCAGTTCCGGGTTTTAGTTTATTTCAAAATTCCAGGGCTAGGCATTTTAGTTGCACTTAATTGGGCGGATTGAGTTTGAATTCCGTATCCACGCCGTTGATCCACATACACGCTTGTAATCTCCCCTTTGTTTTGGCTCAATTTCTTCCTGGTGTAACCGGTTCTTGGAATTGATCTTCTTATTACTTAACTTACCAGTGAATTGTTTTTTTTTTCTTTTGTTTCTTTTTTCAGGAAGCAAGAGCGGTTGGATTTTCTGTATGAATCGGGATTGGCAGTGGGAAAGGGCAGTTCTGATGGATTCAAGGCGCTTGAAGTGTTTCCTAAATCAGAAACTGATGCAACTTCATCCTCCTCCAAGGTGTGCTTTCCAAATATCTTACTTTTAGAATAAAAGAGCCATCATTCTCTGACATTTATCTAAAAATTCAAAACGAAGCTATTGTTTTCCCAAACTGATTATTTTTATGGTTCTGATAAAACTGGGTTTAATGGATTATCAAAGGAAGTAGTTGATCATTCTTCTTGATTTATATGGAAATTTGAAACATACTTGCTGTTTCCCTTAATTGATCTATTTTAAGTTCTGATGGTAGTTATATTGGGATGAGAGGCCATTGCTTGGTACAATGATAAAATCATGGGCTGACAAGTGAATGAGGGTGCTAGTCTTGAATCTTGACTATCCACTTTGTGAAAAAAAATGCCAAAGGTTAGATTTGTATCCAGTCCACCCTTCCAATACTCCAAATAGCCAGTACCAACATTGGGTATAGTGTTGGAATAAATTATAGCTAGGTTCCTTCTCTAATCCGAGTAGATATTTTCATATAACTCTTTCAAAATGGAAATAAAAACCTATAACGTCTAGAGCTTAAACTTAACTGACGAATAGATTTTTATATACTTAAATCCTACAAAGTCTGATTCAAGATGGTAGTATGGCCATAAAAAGTTAATCCATTAGCTATTGGTGATTTAACTCTTCTCATCAACATAAAAGAGCTTTGTGTTTGGTTTACTCTTTTAGTAAAGACTTTAGGCATACAGGCACTTGAGCAGTGTAGTCAAAGTGTCATCTAAGTGTTGATTAGGCAATTGCCTAAGTGCTTAGGAAGCCTATTGCCAAGGTAAATAAATGGGTGATATGGTGTTATAGATATATACATCTTAATGTGGTCACATAAGTAACTCTTCCCCTATATATATTTATATCAGTGTTTATCCTATTTTAGCTTGATTAGGGTGTAAATAAAACTAAAAATTAGGGTTCTTAATCCCTGTGTGTGTGCTTGTGCATGTGCTTTACTTTGAAGTGGGGAAGCTATTCAGATTTTTTTTTTCATTTTTCTAAATCAGTTTTAAGTCGTCATTTTAAATCATTTAATAACTTAATTCGTAGTTTCAAAATTTATAAGTGAAATCTATGCTCACCATTAGGTTGTCTGCAGGGTGCTTCACTGTCACATATTTGTTGCCTCATATAATCTTACTAGTATTGTTTTAGTTATCAGGGAAATGACAGATGCACTAAAGTGTAAAAGAGGGAAAGAGGAAGGGGGAAAGGATGTTTTACCTTCTTCCTCACTTGCATTTGGGTTTTGGATGGTGATGATGATGATGACTTGCACTTGGGCTGGGCTGTTGCGTAAGCCATTCTTCTGAGGAAGAAAGGCTGGTTGTCATCTGATTTGGCTATGACCGGGATAAAACCTGCATGCAGGAATACATCTCAAGAGGTGGAAAACTTCAAGTAAGCAGCGAGTGACAGAACCTAAATGATCAAAAGCTCGCAGTGAATCACAGTGAGCGTTCAGTGTCATTGGATGACATGAGTGTGGAGGTAGAAGTGGAAAGGTATTTACTGGTATATAACCTTGGTGATTATTATCAAAGTGCTTATGATTTAGCTAAGGATGGATTAGGGGTTTCTAAGGTTGACCTTTTCAAAAATGAGGTTGCAATAGACGAGGTGGATTTTGATAGAGCTCCAAGGTGAGGGATGTGGGATGTGGGATGTGGCTGATGTGAGCTCTGATGAGTTGGGAGACTGGTCTGGTGTAGGCGAAGAATTAGAGGTGGGGGTTAAGATGAATTCTCAGGAGTTAAGAGAGAGTTGAGATTTCTGTGTGGGCGTTGATTTGGGTTGTTACAAGGTTGCAATATAAAGATCAATCTTCAGGTGGTACTAATGGATGGATATCATACCGAGTATTAGAAGATTATTTTTCGAATGAAAATAGAATGAGCAATGTGAAAAGATTTAATAATCATAAGAATACTTGATTGGTTTGTATAGAAAAAGACTTCTATTGTTTGTAAATTGGTTTGTGGGGAGCTGGTCCTTGCAAGAGCTTTAAAAAGGTTTATAGGAGGAAAGGTTTGAGGGGTTGATGTCAGATTGTTGAGTTTTCTTCTGAACATTGATTGTGAATCATATGGATGATGCTGCAAAATGGAAAGGCTGATGGTGATTCAATGTCTACTAGAAAGGAGATTCACGACAATGATCTTTTTGCAACAAAAGGAGAGACTGGCATTGGTGAAGAATGAGATAGATTTAACAAGGGTGATCAAGAAGCAAATTCAAATTTGTAAGAGCTTGGGAATTTTCTTTCTAGGTGGAGAGGAACTTGCTAGAAGAACTCTTATGGAAATAAATACAGAGATTATGGTTGATGTGAAGTATTTTAATTGTGTTCGGCCAGTGGGTTTGCTGGTGGATAGGAAGCTGTAACTATTTAAACCTTCTGGGTTGGTCATATACTCTATTTTTTGTTGACAGGACTAGTGTAGGTCTTGGTTAGTGTATGGTTGCCTTGTGTGTGTTCAAGAGTCTGTTGGGAGGTGAGATGTATTTGGCTTATGTAGATTTTGGTTAGTGTTTCCAATGTTGTGTTTTCGGAATGGTGGGTAGACCTATTCATGGGCCGGGCTTGGACCGGGCTTTGTCTATGTATCAATAGAATACATTTAGGCCCAAGCCCGAGTCTAGACCGAGTGCCCGACCATCAGGACTAGGTCTTGAGCCCGGCCAGAAATTTGTAAATAGAATTTTTTTTCTTTTTTTATTCAATAATAAGTGTTTTATTTATATTAAAAACATTCAAAACTCAAAAATAATAACATATCACTATTACTTAAAAATAGAGAAGAAGAACAAAGAAAAAGTATTGTATATGTATTTTTTATTAAATAAAAAATATATTTTATTATTATTTAATATATAGTATCAAGTCAGGCTCGGGCTAGGCTTTTATGAGAAATCCCTAGCCTGGCCCGAAATAAGTCGGGCCCGATGCCTTAGGCCCGGGCCCAAGCCCAAGCCCATAGGCCTAAAATTATGACCAAGACCGACTTATAACAGGCCATGCCGGGCTGATCCATCGGGCTACCCGGCCCATGAACATGTCTAATGGTGGGGGTGTCTTATATGTGGTGCTTAGGCTGCAAAACTAGTATACTATAGTTTCATGGATTCTCCTAAATGGATGGAGTGTCGGACTCCAACACTCAATGGATTCTTGGAAGACACTTTTGGTGACGTTTTTCTTCTTCTCCTTGCTTTTTTTTATATAACTTTAGAATTTTACTATAAAAGCATCAAAGTGTACAAGCAATACAAGCAACCATAGGAGAGGAGCAAGGTGCATCTCTCACAATATTGAATAACTGATTACAATTAAGCCCAATACAAAGATTCCTTGTTAACCCCTTGCTTTGCTAAGAAATCAGCCATTCCATTTGCTAATCTTCAAACCCATTGTATCCTTAGTGTCATATTTATGGTTATCCATCTGAATCTCTTAAACATATATCTATAATCCCACACTACTAGTTGTGGATTCTTCATCCACCCCACCACCAGCTCAGAATCACCTTCAATAATCAAATTCTCCAAATTCAGTTGTTGAACAACATAAAATAGATATGATACCATGTTAAACAACATAAAATAGCTTTGATACCATGTCAACTAACACAAAATAGAATGGCAAACCAAGGAAAAAATAAGAAGAAGAAATAAAGAGAACACCAAGATTTTACATGGTTCGGCTTGGTAGCCTACATCCATGGGAGGAGAGGAAACATATCCACTATGAGAACAAGAGATACAACTCTCTCTCTCACTCACTTACTCACTCTCACTCCTCCTCAAACCCTAATCTCACACAACCACCAGCTTAAATAATAGACCGAAATATATCAAAATTACAAAGAAGCCCCTTTTTCTCCCATAAATACATATAGGTCCTCATTTTATCAATATTACAAATATTACAACCAAATACAATATTTCTCTCAACACGCCCCCTCAAACTCAAGGTGGGAAAACCAGCTTGAGTTTGCAAGTAAGGATGTTGAAGCAACCTTCATGGAAATAGGTTTACTATTGAAGTAGCAACAAAACCTTGAGATGTTGAAGGGACCTTTAAAGCAACAGTTCACCGATACACCAAGGGAACTTCACATGTTCACCAACAAAGTTATCRCCACACCACAAACCATTACCAACTCACAAACATCCACAACTTGAGGCATCACAACCGCTTTTCCAACTCACAAAACCACTACCAACAAATAACCACAGCTTGAGGCATCAAAGCCTCTTTACCAATTCACAAAACCACCACCAACAAACAACCACAACTTGAGGCATCGCAACCTCTTTTCCAACTCACAAAATCACAAATAGCTACAACTTGAGGCATCAAAGCCCCTTTTCCAACTCACTAACTCACAAAAAACAACCACAATTTGAGGCATCAAATCCCCTTTTCCAACCAACAACTAAACAATCACAACTTGAGGCATCAAAACCCCTTTTTCAACCAACTAACAAACAACGACAACTTGAGGCATCAAAGCCCCCTTTTCAACTCACAAAGCCAATACAAACTCACAAAATACTGCATCCTGATGCTAGTAGTCGACTACTACATGAAGAGATTGTTGGAAGGGTTAGAATCCATCTTATGGATAGTCAAACCATGCTAGATGGCTTGGCGAAATTTCAAAAATTTTCTAATCCTTCTGGGAACCGATTTCCTAGTGTTTTGAAAAATTGCATTTTTTCGAATCGATCTTCCACTGAACCGAACCGAATTTGAAATCAAATAAAAAAGGGAGATTGTACTTGATACGAATACCACAAGCGTAGATTCCAAGGTGGAAGTTCACGCTTAAATCAGTCCTAAAACTAGCCTCCACTGAAGATAGCACAGTGTATGGGTGAAGCTGGTTTAGCAACACTGTTTTCAGCAAAATTGCTATCCAACTTGCTTGGATCAAATGGGGTGAGTGAGCTTGATGTTCTTCAACGTTTTTCTTGCAAAAACTAGAAGAAAAACTGATAAAAAA